CAAGGAAGATCGCGAGCTACCGGCCCATCGCGCTGACGTCCCACGTAGCCAAGCTGGCCGAGCGGGTGATCGCGACCCGTCTGTCACACCTCGCCGCCGAACGCAACATGATCCCACCTGAACAAGTCGGATTCCGCGAGAAGCGGGGCGTCGAGGATGTCGTCGCCCGGCTAACCCAGCAGGTCCAAGATGGATGGCAGCTCAAGCCGTGCCCGCCATCGAGACGTCAAGTCCCGGACGGAGAAGCAGCCCAGAAGTATGTCCTTGTGGCATACGACTTCTCCCGCGCATACGACCGGGTCGACCACCGTCTTCTGAGGGCGCGTCTTGCAGAGTTGGGAATCCCGGCCTGCTACAACACCTGGGTGTGGGCATTTCTTCGAGACCGGAGGGCCTGTGTCGAAGTCAACGGCACGAAGAGTGGCGAGCGCGTGTACAGGGCGGGCCTGCCGCAAGGCAGTGTCCTCTCTCCGACCCTGTTTCTGTTATGGTCGGCGCCGCTCGTAGCAACGCTCAAGACCCTGCCCGGCACAACCCCATTCATGTTCGCCGATGACACCTCGACGCTCTGCGCCGGCAACTCCATCGCCGTGGCCCGGGACCGGGCGCAGCTGGCGGCCAACACGCTCGTGAAGTGGGCCCGCCGGAGTAAGATGGAGGTCGCGGGTCAGAAGACGCAGCTGCTCGTCCTCTCCCAGAACCCCCGAGACGCCGTCGACTGTCACATCCACGTGGCGGGTCAACTGGTGGAAGGGGGACCTGAGCTGAAACTTCTGGGAGTGACGCTAGACAGGACGCTGAGCTTCGGCCCGCACTGCAGAAGTCTCCGTCGGCGCGTCCGGCCCCGAGCGGCCCAACTCCGACGTCTCACCGGCCGCAGCTGGGGGTTGCAAGAACAGCAGCTGCGCGCCGTCGCAAACGGCTACGTGCGCGGCGCGATAGAGCACGCGGCTGCTGCCTGGCTGCCGGCAGTGTCCAAGTCCAACATCGAGATCCTGGAGCGGGAGATGCGCGCCGTGGCGAGGATCGTCACGGGCTGCATACACTCCGCACCACACCACGGTGTGACGGCCGAGGCTGGCATGCTGCCTGTCGCGGCACGACGTACTGCGCTAGCGGCGCGTATGTTCGCGAAGGCTGCCGCGCTCCCGCCAGAGGACCCCCTCCGAGCGGTCGCCATGGCTGACCCCCCTCAGCGCCTCAAGCTGGTCACGGGGTGGCGCCAAGTAGGCCGGGAGGCCCTGCGGGAGCTACGGGTCGAGCTGCCGGTTGAGGCCCTACTACCAGAGCGACCGCCACCGTGGACGCCCACCGGCAAGATCACCTTCAACCTGAGCATTGGCGCGCTGCCCGCCGGTGCGGCGAGGTCCACGAAGAGAGACGCAGCGCTCCATCACCTGGCGTCCATGACGCAGTGCGCGACGTGGGCGTGGACCGACGGCTCGTCGAGCGGCGGGATCCTCCGCGGGGGGGCTGGCGCCCTCATCGTCGGAGCTGACGACAGCCGCACCGAGCTCCGTGTCCCAGCGGGCACACTCTGCTCCAGCTTTCGAGCGGAGATGGTCGCCCTGCAGGTGACGCTGGACCACATCCTGGAACACCAGCGGGACGCACCAGAACCAGTCGTTATATGTACCGACTCGCTGTCGGCGATAGCGGCGCTGAGAGAGGGTCCGTCGGCACAGCGCTCGGCCAGAGGCGCTGCCATATGGAAGCAGCTACTGGAGCTCACCGCCGGAGACCGAACGGTCACCCTCCAGTGGGTTCCATCCCACTGCGGGATCCCAGAGAACGAGTCCGCCGACGCCCTGGCAAACGAGGCTGCGACGCTGGCACAAGAAGACGTCATGCTCGACGTAGACACCATCTACCGAGCGGCAGTCCGCACCGCCAGAGACCGCGCCGCAAGGGACAGGCCGACATACCCGGACCCCGACCGCAAAGCCGCAACGGGGTGGTACAGAGAGCTTATGGGTGCAAGATGGCCACCACCTCTCACCAACATGGACAGGACGACAGCAGTAGACGTCCACCAGATCCGCACTGGGCGCTGGAGCGGCTCGGCGCAGTTTCTCCATTCCATCGGACGAAACCCATCTGCGGACTGCCCACAGTGCAGGAACCTCGACTGCCCTGCAGCTCGTTACCCGCTGTGCGGCGAGCAAGCCGACACACCTCGACACATCCTGCTGACCTGCCCGGGACTGATGGGGGTTCGCCTCAGAATCCCGGCGGTCGGCAACATACTGCCGACGGTGGAGGAGGTCAGGCGCGGCGACACGGTGGCGGCCCTGGTGGCCGCCTTCAGGGCCCTCCAGAGCTGAAGCTACACCGCGGCTCTGCCGCGGATGGAGGGAAAACCAACAACAACAACAGGTAGCGGCGTGCGGGCAAAAGGCGCGGGCACACCTCCATGTGGCCGTGCGGACAGTGCGCGGTCGGCGTCGCATAGTGGGCGGCATCGGGCTGTCCCGGGCCGTCGAAGCCGCACAGGTTGTCGGCGCATGTGGGCGCGCGCGGTCACCACGGCCAGCTGCTCACCGCCAGCACAGACTGCGCAGCGTCGCCGCTCCGCCGGCCAGAACACGCAGACAACCCTTCTTGCAGTCGCACAACACGTCGCCAAACTCATTCACCTGCTCCACCATGTTGTTGATGTCACCGAGTCGTTCGAGTTGTGGCTCGTGCCGTCGAGCATGACCTGCCCGATCGGACACGGGTCAGCGGCTTCTGCTCCAGCGAAGTCTTCATCCTAGTGACGTCTTGCTGATCTCCACAAAGGCTGAGCAGATGGCCTTACCCACAGAGACGGCCGACGTCCTCGCCAGCGACCGCTTGGTTGTGCAGACCTGCCAGAAAAAGAAAAGCTGTTTGGTTATCTCAAACGATTTTTTTCTTTAATGCAGTGGAACAAAACGGAAAATATGTCATACAACAGGAACTAAAAAAAAGATGCAGCCTAGGTCGTCTAAGAAATGGGTGCAACATTGATAAAATTCTTCATTGAATGAATTCTGCAAATGCTTTTGATAAAATATGTGGTGATTATAAGGAGACCACTTTACTATAAAATTGCTCAGGATTCCCTATCTGGACCTGTCAAAAAATCCTGACTGCACACCAACAATGAGCATTAAATCCAAAACCTCTACCAGGTACCTAGGGATAATTAAATTCTGATTCAGGAAAATATTTCACATCATACAAATAAAAACCTTTACTATATTGAAACTGAAAATGAGATGCTGATCCAGTGACCTAAGGGTCTCAAAGTATAATAATGAATTAATTGATTATAAATTTGGTGGTGACTGCCGACTGGCGTCTGGCGGCCTAGACCTTGAGGCTTGAAAGTGGCCTTCCTTTTCCGTTGACTCCGATCCTCCAGATGGAAATGATATAAAGGATCATTTTTATCTTATTTCATATGAGCGAGCCAGTCAGCAAAGTGGCTATCCTGTTTCAGCATTCACCCACACAATAGTTGACTGTCAGTCTGTCATGCTGTCAGTGTTGTGAAGTAATGAAGGAGTTGAGTTTTGTTGATTATAAATTGTGATGTTATGTAAAGGACTGGAAATGAATGTGAAAACTATGGAAACATATTGGCAGAGTATCGTCACTTACTATCAGGACATATGGATAGAGAATACATTCAAATTAATAAGAAATGCCAAATATCAAGGTACTCAATCACTGATAGCAGTGGACTATCATATGTTTTAATGTCATTTATATGAAAGTTAAGACTGAAACTACCTTTTACCTCATCATAACTAATGAAAAATTGTGTGAAGAAAACATTCACAGCCTCTTTGAAGCACTTAGACCACTAAAAAACAAAAATTTTCACGTAAATATGTTGTGTCTCCTTCCTTCAAAACATCATATCGGATGGCGCCACTTTCGTCGACAGTTACTTATCTGCACGCAAATCGAGGAAAACGTGAATTGATTGACGTTTACGTGTTTCCAAATTTAAAATCACAGCATATTCAAACTTTTCAGTGTACCTTTTTACATCTAAGTACAACTAAAACGATAAAAACTTACCCTCAACACAAGGACGACGACAACCACGCGACCGGAGACGTCGCGACGAAATAAACAAACGGCGCCGCCAAATGAAAATTAATACATACTTTACGGTGCGTTCACTGGAGATTAACCGTGCGTTAATTCGAAGGTAGCCGTGCACCAATTTAAATTGGTGCACGCGCGTGCAGTGATGACTTTCTCGACTGAAGTTTTTCGGAAGGGTCATTGACTTTATTCTTAGATTTCCCATAAAGGGCCCTTTTTAGTGGCATGGACTAGGTTTAATTTTCATTTAAATTCGCACCGTTAAGCATGTATTAATTAGTTTAACACATGGTTTCCGTGCATAAATGGTTTTAACGCACTCGTGGATGGAATGGAGCACTTGTGCGTTAATGCACTCGTTTCACTCGTGCATTAACACACTCGTGCTCCAATCCATCCACGTCGTGCGTTAAAACCATTTACACACTGGAAACCATGTGTTAATATACAATATTCTCCGATATGGGTAATGTGAAATTGAATCGCAATCATTTTGGGTAGTATGAAAAATGCTCTTTCCAACAGAACCCTAGTAAAAAACGTGACTGGACAAAAAATAACTTTTATTTCGACATAAATATTGGCCTGTTTTTAAGTCATCCTGGTATGCCGTACGATTTCGACCTATAAATTGGTGTTCCCCCAATCATTGAAGCTTGAGCAGTGAAAAATATGAAAGCCTAATCTGTTTTGCATCACTAGTGATTCTCCTAGGGTGTTGCCATTTCTCCCTAGGTGTTGCGAGTTGCTTTTGCAAAACGTGTTCCTGAAACGGCTCAATTTTTTGAGCCCTCAGCATTACGCCTATGGGAGCCTCTGACGTCACACGCTCAATATTTTGAGCGCTCAATAATTTGAGCTTTTCCCCCTTGTGCGTGGGACTGAGTTGGGTCGGCAGTAGCTGTAACAGCTCCCACCTGGGGCTGGCGCGGTAACCGACGGGACAGTTGGGTCGGCACGTGTAGCTGCCTTCGGTGTTGACGCACGTTGTCGCCACCGTGCAGTTGCCGACACCCTCGGCGCACTCATCAATGTCTGTGAAACCAGGCCAATCACGGAGAGGTTAGGGCCAGTTTCCGGGGAGGGGGCAACCAAACCCCAAAATGACACCACATAAAATACATCGTACACACTGCACACATAGGTAAAGGCATTCCAAATTATCCATATAAACAGCTGTGGGTACTATCAGCCTTTTGTCATAAAACGATAAAAGCGCATGATTCAAACGCGAAGTCAAGGAGCACACACTCACACGGCACAAACAAGCAACACATCCTCTTGAGCCTTAACCCATGCGTACATACATACCGTAAAACTACTTCTACCGAGGGCTACAGAGGTGGCAGCGTAAAGCCCTCAGAGGTCGAGACCAAGCGCCCGGAGGCTCGCATGGGGTCCTCAAAGGCCGCTTTGGGGACTTTAAAGGGTGAGATGTGGGCCGTGAGGCCCCAAGAAGCCAGTGTACACTGTACACTAGGGGTACCCCCTACTGTACAGTACAGTCATCTAAGGCCAGCGCGGGGCCGTCAAGTCCAGCGTGGGGTCCTCCTGTCCTCAAAGACCAGCGGCGTGGTCGTGGGGTAGAGGCCAGATTGAGGCCCTTCAAGGACAATGTAGACACTCTTAGGCCAGCGTGGAGCCATGTTTGGTCAACGTGGGGCCCTGTGACCAGCGTTGGGCACTCTTAGGCCGGCATAGGGCCCTCTGTCCTCTGACTTCTGAGGCTGGTGCCGGGCACTGAGAATCCAAATTTTGTCATTATCATGATGCATAATATGTGGACCCGCGCATCGACGGGGCCGGATATCCGCCTCTCCCTGGGGGTTTTCCCATATTAACCCGTGCACCGACGGGGGGGGGGCGGTTATCCGCCCCCTGAGCTTTTTCGTAAATAGCGGGAAAACCGCGTCGCTAGCGCCGCAAAATTTAGTACGACTATTCTCTAATTAATTTTACACATGGTATGCAAGTTTGAACCTCCTAACTCTTAAGGTCAGGTCACCAGGTCACTTCAAATGACCCAACCTCAAGTCACTTTTTTGCAACTTTGTCACCGTGTCAGAGCTACAGTAGGGGAGAGTGGGGCACATTCGTGCATGGGGCACATTCGTTTTCAGCAGTTTATGGGAACACGAGTGACTGCACGAGCTCAAGGTAAATTATGGAAATTTGTCTATCATTGCCGCCCTTCGTTCACCGTAGAAGACAACACTGTACCTGCTGTCATGCTTGATAAAAACGCAAATTTGTAATATTCGTGAGCTTTCCAAACTTTTCTCATATCATCCATTTTCGTGATCCTGACTCGGAAATGTGGTTCAGCTTTTCAAAATTGGGGGCGAAGGTGCTCACTCTATTCACGGAACTGCTGCAAACTTGTTTGTTGACAAAGTGTCATTTTTTTCAACAAGAAATTTTGAAATATATTACAAATAACGTTGTGGGGCAGGTTCGTGTAGGTACGCACTGCCTAGGGCACATTCGTGCATATTTTTTTTAGTTTTTGCTATTTATGACTTTATCTATAGTAGGTTTCACTAGTGACGCTCGCCTGACTCAGTCTCGGCTGCTTGCGACGTCGCGACGAGTAATTCACGCGAACTTGGCGAGGTCACGGAGGCCGGCAGTTGGCACATTCTTGTTGGCCAGCCCATTCTTTCTACATATGTTGTGCAATGCATTCTTGTCGAAAGGAATCAAGTGAAATGACCCCCTGCCAATTTCCTTTGGTAAATTTCTGGTAATGCCCGGTAATTTCTAGAACTTTGCAGGGTGCACGGAAGTGCCCCACCCCTTGCACGAATGTGCCCCATAGGTGGGGCAGTTTCGTGCAAACGTTCAGAGTTATTAAAAGTCATTTTTTCTAATAGAAGCAATAATTTTAGAGGATAACTTTTAAAGAGGAAAAATATCTGCAATAGTTCCTTTCCATACCACAATCAACAATTTTGCCGTTGCACTAACCAAAGAACAGATATATGGATTTATCCATTTTTTCAAATCAACTCCCTGTTTCTACCTCTAAAACACGTCGGAATGGCCCCATATACCATACATGACTTCATATACGATCAGCGTTCACTACCTTGAGGTCTGTTTTGCTGTTGGCCAGCTGTAAGGTCATGTGACGTCATCAAAAGTCACCGAAAGTTTTTTTGCCAATAACTCCTTACAGGAAGACGATACAGTCGCGCGGATGGTCTGATTGTGTTCAGCTCGTCAAGGCGCATCGAATGATATACATGATGACCTCGAGGTCACGTGACCTGAGGTCAACCTTTGACCTTGACCTTTCGAGGTCAACATATATATGATTCGATGCGGATTGACAAGAGGATCACGATGATGCCCTTAGTTTGTTCCCGGCTTGGCTTATTCGAAAGCATTCGAGGAAAACTCCATATCTAGCGCCGCCATTTTGACTTTTTTTACCCCTGTGACGTCATATTTGACCTGACCTGAAAATTACCTTTGTAAAAATTGTAGACCTTGTCCGTGCGTATCTCATGCCGTTTACCGCTTGCCGCTATCTTGCTTCGTTCTCGAGATCTCAGGGGAGGGGGGGGGCGGTCATCCGCCCCCGTCGGTTATAAGTCCGCGCAGACCCCCATCGGTGCGCGTATTTACAAATTGCAACCGAGCTCCGCCGTAGGGTATTTTATTTCCGCCGTAGTGTATTTCACGTAGGGCATTTTCCACCAGACATCTGCCTGAACTTAGGGTATTACAATTTGTCGGCGACGTTCAAAATGATGCACTTTTTTGCAGCATAGGTTGTCGCATGTGTACATTTTTGCCATTTACGTTGTGCTTTTTTAACCCCCGCCAGTATAGGGGGAGTGGTTGAACGGACCCCTCGGTTTTTCGCGAATAACTCGAGTAAAAAGCGTCCGATCGCGACGAAACTTGCAATACCCTCGAATTTATCAATTTTATACCTACCTTCAAAATTTCATGACCCTGACCCAAATGAATTTTGACCTGTGACCTGTTTCTCGTGACCATGTTTGGTCCGAATCGCGATTCGGCGTATGTCTGCTCGCATTAGCCGTGTGTTTGCAGTCTTTTCGTGGTTTCAGGCAAGATTCGTGATGGCAAGATTCAGGTTTCGTGAGGCAAGATTCAGGCAAACATGTGATATACTGCTGGTGCCATGCATTAAGGTGGGTGTCAAGGTCACCTGAGTGTCAGGTCGGGTCATTGACCTTTGATGACCTCGGTTCACTTTTTCGATTTTTATATGTTTCTTGGCTAGGTTTTTTTTTTTTGCTGAATTCGAATTTAGCAACCATTTGAACATTTATGACGTAGAGTTGGTCCCTTCGTAACATGTTTCGAAGCTGCCAGAGAAACAAAACTAGCGGTTTGCTCCACCAACTTTTGCTGATTTGTAGGACTTAGTTGCTTAGCAAACCAATCATGTTCGCATTGAGGAACTTTGAAATGTCTGTAGTAATGCAAAATATTATTTTTGTTATTAAAGGAATTGATTCAGTGTTGCACTTTATCTAACTTAACAACCGGACATTGAAGGTTTGACGAATTTTTGCCCCACGAACTTCCCTGGAAAATCCCCACCCTTGGCTATGAGACATATGGGACAAGAACATAAAACAAGATAGACAAAAAACAAAGCAAAATTAACTAATTACCTAATGAAACTCAGGATGGAGCAAAAGCATAGGTAGGTTAGGTACCTATGTCAAATTAGAATGAAACATTTAAATCAACCTGACCTAGCCTGACCTGACCCTAACCACCTTACTTCGCCTAACAACTTAATTCAACCTAACCTGTAGCCTGTAGGTTATTATTACCTAAGATATCTTCCATTAAATAGTAGAATTCTTCCATTGTCTTGCTGCAGAACAGGGTTACTTTCAGTCTCTTGGGAACACGATTTGCCGGTCTTAGGTCGAAAAACACTTCAAGAAGCGGCAATAGACAATGAAATTTCCAATCAGATAGCATCTCGGATTTTTATGTTTCTTGCATAGAATTTTCATAAATAACCGTTAAAATGGCCAATTTCGTCAAATTCAGAATTTTTGCCATTGGATCTAATGTAAAACATGGTTTCTTTCAGTCTCTTGGGAACACGATTTGCGTACCTCAGATTGAAAAACACTTCAAAAGGCGCAGATAGTAGACGAGTTAATCTACTAGATAGCATCTCGCTTTTTTCGTATCTAGCCATGTTTCTTCATAAACCCTTTTCAAATATAGTCAATTTAACATTAAAGTCTATGGATTTAGTAGAATTTTCATATCCGACTAAGTTTGGGCTACCATCTCTGTTGACCGTGGGCCGGGCGGACCCTACCACCCATAGGGGGAGGTGTTTCGGCCCCCCTAAGATCTCGAAAATTCTCCGGCCGATTTTCAAAATTCAAACGGCGATCGATAGCCCCACCGGGGAACTACCTTGTGACCAAATTTCATTGACCTAGATCAAACCGATGACGTCACAGGTCAGGTCAAAGGTCGGATTTTCATCGTTCACAGACATTTCAAGAAATGTGTTGTGAAATCGAGTAAATTGGTAAGTTATCCCGCGCCGGGCCGGGGGGTGTTTGAACACCCCCCCCCCCTGTGGTTTTTCGCAGATATCTCAAAAACGGCGGCGCGGAGCGCCGCCGTTTTTGGCGCACCTGTTCATGCATCTTTTCCGCACATGTTGTGAAAATTTCAGACCCAGGTCACTTTAGGTCAGGTCACCAGGTCACGCTAAGTGACCTCACCTCAGAAAAAATAAGAATGCTCGTCATAGCTGCACCGATTGATCGATTTCCTTGAAACTTTCAGCGATTGATTAGAGCAACATTATCTATAAAATGTATATCTCGGAATTTTGATATCGGTGACCTAAGGTCAGGTCAATTTTGCGACCTGCCCATTATAAGTCAATGGGAGAAAATTGAAAACCACCTGTTTTGCACGAACGCTATTCTAGACACTCTCAAACATCGAGATACAGGTAAAATGGACACACTGAACCGGAAAATGGCAACTGTGACCCCTCGTTATGTGCC